GCCGATGGGGGCCGGGCGGCGGCAGCCTGGCCCCCCGGGCTGTGTGACCTTGGGCAGCCCCGCACCCTCTCTGGGCCGGAGCCGGGAAGGACAGATCGGGCGGCCGGAGGCCATTCGGAGTCCCGGCCGGAGGCGCCGGAGGCACCGGCCTGGGCGCTGGGGAGGCTCCCGGGAGGCGGGGCCTGGCTGCCCGGTCAGGCTTGGGACCAGCAACTCGGGGCCCCGCGCCTGGGCCCCGGCTGGGTCTCCACCGCCCCGCTCTCGGGTCTGCAACCTTGAGGGCCTTCCCGCCCTCTCTGCGCCTCAGTTTCCTCATCTGTAAAATGGAGATGCTATCTCAGCCCGCTCAGCCCTGGCCCACGTCAGTGAGGCTCCTTAAGATGACACGGTCCTTAGGGAAGGGGCTGAGGGAGGACCCCGACCTTCCCAGAGGAGGTGTCCGGTGGGCAGCTCCCCCAGCAGTGGAGCGAACCGGCCGAGTCAGGACCTGGACTCCTCCCCTAGGCGCCTGGTGGACTTCATCTCTCCAGGGCTCAGCTCTCACCCCATCACATGGGGGGAAGGATGGGTGCCTCCCTGCCTGGGAGGGAGGACTCAACCAGGTCCCCCAATCCACTCCCCACCCCCTGAGAGCCAAACAGCAGAACTTATGGACACGAAATCATTTGTAAAAAATGCCCCATCAGGTCCGAGGAGGAAGGTGGGGTTACTGTGCCCATTTCACTGATGAGGAAACTGAGGTCCAGAGAAATTGCCCACAGCTAAGGGTTCAGACGCAGGCATTGGGCCTGAAACGGCAGGTGGATACAAGTGGCCGGTGGCTAAGGATCTGCTGAGTACTTGCCGAGCCCTCACAGCCGCCCCGTCTGTGTGTCTGTGTCCCTGTCCACAGTGACTCCGCTGGCCCGGGCATGGCAGACCCCGTGGCGAGCATCGCAGGCTCGGCCGCCAAGAGTGTGAGGCCCTTCCGCTCGAGCGAGGCCTACGTGGAGGCCATGAAGGAGGACTTGGCCGAGTGGCTCAACGCCTTGTACGGCCTGGGTCTGCCCGGCGGGGGTGACGGCTTCCTGATGGGACTGGCCACCGGCACCACGCTGTGCCAGCACGCCAATGCCGTCACCGAGGCTGCCCGCGCGCTGGCGGCCGCCCGTCCTGCCCGGGGCGTGGCCTTCCAGGCCCACAGCGTGGCGCCCGGCTCCTTCGTGGCCCGAGACAACGTGGCCACCTTCATCGGCTGGGGCCGGGCGGAGCTGGGGGTGCCCGAGGTGCTCATGTTCGAGACGGAGGACCTGGTGCTGCGCAAGAACGAGAAGAGCGTGGTGCTCTGCCTGCTGGAGGTGGCGCGGCGCGGGGCCCGCCTCGGCCTGCTCGCCCCGCGCCTCGTGCAGTTCGAGCAGGAGATCGAGCAGGAGCTGCGCGCTGCTCCCTCGGCCCCCCACGCCTCGGCCGCTGAGGATGAGGAGGGCACCCCCGAAACCGCGGCTGCACCAGGGGCTCCCACCCGAGGGCCCCGCATGACGCCCATGGACCTGCGCAACCTGGACGAGCTGGTGAGTCCTGTCCTGCTAGCTAGACTCTCGCCCTGTGCTGTGCCAGGACCGGACGGCAGAGCCCGTGCCCACCACTGGTCCCGAACCTCTGCAGGACAGCTCGTCCCGGGGAAAGGGTGCATGTATTGAGCACTGACTGTCTACCTCGCACCCAGGAGATGAGCAGACCGACAGAGGGAGAGGGCTTGGGGAGGTCAGGAGCCCCAAACGACCTGGGATACAATCGGAGCCCGATTGCATGGGTGCCCGCCTTCCTTCACCTGCTAACCAGGCCCCAGACAGGGCGGGGTGTGCCTTCATCCAGGGGCCACAGGATCTGAACCCCTCCCGTGTGCCCTCACAAGTGCTAGGCAACTGCATCCATGTTGCTCAATGTGAAGTGGGTGCCTGGGGGGGACACTTGGCCCTGGACAAGGTGCCGGGCACACAGTAGGTACTCTGTGGTCCCTCGGGAAGCTCCCAGGGGCTCCACTGGCCCCTCCCACTCCCCAGGGCCCTTCCCACATCATTTATCTGGGAAGCCAAGCCCAGAGCTGCTGCTGGGAGCTGCAGAGTTCTACTTGAGCATAGGAGGGGCCAGACCATGTCCCCAGCTCCCTCTCCCCCCAGGACCTAGGTGTCCCTGACACCCCCGCAGCCAGGCCAAGAGTTTCCTCCTTATCAAGGGCTTGGGGCTGCGATGTGCCAGTTCTGGAGGGCAACAGCCGGATGGCGTGGGCAGAGGCTGCCACCCCACCCTCGTCCTGGGCCAGGGTCACCCGAGGCTCCACCTGCTCATTTCCTCCCACTCTGCTGTGGGCAGGGAGGCAGGCGGGGCCGCCCACATAGCCAGCCTGGCAGCTCGGGGCCTGGAGGGACACGTGCGTAGATGTCTGCTCACCATGCGGGTGGCCTGTGCGTGCATGTTGGTGTGTCTGTGGTGGTATCCCTGCCTCAGTGCCAAGTCCTGTAACCTGCCTCCTCCCGGGACCTGGCCTCCCTCGGGGCCTCAATCTTCATGTCTGTGAAGTGGGTGAAGGGGGCGTGAGGATGGCTCCAGGGCTGCCCCCAGGCTGAGGGGCTTTGGGGATGTGCCTCGCTGGGGTCCCAAGTCCTGGCCTGACCACAGCCCCGCCATCTGACAGCCAAAGGGGAAGGAGAGCGGTGAAAGGTCAAGTGCAGAGGCTACACCACGTCTGGGGCCATAGAGTCCAAGCTCCACTTCCCCGGAAGGACCTCCTTCCTCCTGAGCCTGGAGTGACTGACATCAGGCTCTGGGAGGAGGGGCTTCCCCCCTGACCCCCAGCCTCTCCTCTCTGGCCTCAGGTGAGGGAGATCCTGGGCCACTGCACCTGCCCGGACCAGTTCCCCATGATCAAGGTCTCCGAGGGCAAGTACCGCGTCGGAGACTCCAGCCTGCTCATCTTCGTGCGGGTGAGTGAGGGGCTGCCCGCAGCAGCCGCCCCAGGGCTGGGCGCCCAGGCCCCGGGACAGGCTGTGACCGGCCTTGGCGGCTCCTGCAGGTGCTGAGGAGCCACGTGAT